TGAAATGTACCAGAGTAAAAGCATTGGTGGTTTACTGAATGGGCCTAACTGGCCCCCTCACCACATTGATCCAAAAAATAAATAAATTTAGTTTCTAGTTACTTTTTAGAATCAGATTAATAAAACAAAATATAGTATAGTCATTAGACTTTATTAGGGACAGCTTCACAAGCAGTAGGTAGTTCCACCTCTAGCTACAATATTAAATGTGATGTAACGCATCAATAATTAACCAATAATATACCGTACATTAATATGAAATGTGTCATTCTGCACAAGGAGTAACCCTTTTGAAATTAAGTAACATTTTGAATGCAGGACTTTTACGTGTAACAGAGTATTTTTACACTGTGGTACTGCAGCTTAAGTAAGGAATCTAAGTACTTCTTCCACCACTGGTAACATAAAATGGAAATACCGAAGTAAAGTACAAGTGGCTAAAATTGTACTTACGTGAGTAAATTATTTTCCACCATTGCTTAGATTTTAATAAGGTGTTACCTTATCATCGTGTACAATTTCTGAGTCATTATTCTAAACTGTGAATGAGTCTCCTTTTATAACTGTAATATTTATGATGGTGGGCGCGCGCGCTAAGCACCTTGCGTGACTTTCCCATGATGTCACTTCCTGTCGCCAGACAGCCAGTTCAGGCCAGTTCAATAATGCTGTAGTACTCAGTCTGTTCTTGTGAGCTGTCAAGATACAGAAATCCTTCACTGTGCCTGTCTGTTGCGACAGCATTTCTCTAAACGTAGCGTGTTTTCCCCTTCAACGACGTTTTCCTTCAGATAGCAGCCGCTCTCGTCTCACTATGACTCGAAGGTGATCTTCAGAGTGTCTGGGTGGTTCTGGGTGAGTGTCTTTTTAAAACGTATTTCCACTTTATCTCCATCACTGTCATCATTACCCATGCGGCATTTGCTACCTATGGGGGCCAAAGCTAGAGCGGTAACAGTAGCTAGCTGATGCGTGTGCCGACGTCAGTTCTTCTCCATCCTGCGGTGAGGCAGGAAAACTAGCCAAGGTTGCTTAAACAACATTTCATTTCGGGTCTGAAACAGAGAGCAGTGGAAGACACGTGGACGTTGTTGTTAAGCTAGTAGCATGCTAACAATGAAGCTTGGCTATCGTTAGCCAGCTAGCCAACACCCAGTCCTGTCTTCTCGTCTTACCAATGAAGCACTTCCCCAGCTGCCTGGGGGCTTGTAACCATGATCCACCGTCAGCAATGTAGTGTTTATCGCTAGTCACTGTTATGAGGAGTAAAGATATTCCTGTGCAAATCAATATCATGTTATAATTTAATACGGAGGTTAACTTGACATATTATGCAGGCGTGATTGTACTTAGAAGTGAGGTGACTAAATATACACTCAGGGCCGCACCTGTACAGTTGTGTGAAATTCATTGTAACAAAAGTAAAATCTATGTTTATGGAGCTCAAAGGTTTTTTTTGTTTTGTTTTTTTTGGTGGCATTATCAAAAATGATAATTATTGAGGTCATAGTTAAAGGTGGTGTTGTACTGGACTACATTATATTCAGAGGTGTTCCTAATATTTTGACCCTCATGTATGTACCTCGGAAGGACAAAATATAGAGACGCCCCTATAAAGTGGCCGGTGAGTGAGCTCCTAAACAAAACACCATTTGAACAGGTTTTGCAAAGTGGGAAGACATATTACATCTTCTGTCTAAACTCCTACACATTTCCAGTTTTGCAAACCTGCCAAACGTCTGCAGTGGTCAACATCCAAACCGAGCACTGGCCTGAAGTTATCTTTACACTATTCCTGACCTGACCAGGCCCCACACATTAGTATAAGTCTTGCGACCTGACCAGTAGGTTAATTTTAAAATGCTCTGCGCTGCTTCTCAAAAGTACAGACACAAACCGTAGGGGTGTACAAGGAGTTAAATAAATACTTTTCCTGACATGGCACCTGGATTTAAGTGTTGTGTGCGTCACTGATACCGAAGAGGTATTCTGAAGAAATCACAAACCAGAAGGCACTAGCACACTGATACCATCAGTCAATGTAGAATAAGCCCAATCTAAACATTTTTTCTTATACTTCAGTGGACCATGCATTCAAATGTATGTAACATGTAATACATGAGAGAGACAACTGGGGCTAAAGGCATGTGGTGTTTTCTCTTCAGGTGCTACTGCATAGTGCTAGTGCTATAGCACTAGGTGATCAGTTTTGCACTGGACTCATACACTTTGTCTCTATCAATTGCACAGGGACCGTGAGTGAACATTAAATTTCATGTTCTGCCACAGATTCTCACTTTGATTTTGTTCTGGACTCTGCCTTTTCTACTACACTCTATTGCCGAGTAGTGCTGTACCTCACTAAGCAGTTTGTCAGGGTATTTACATCCAAATCAGGTGAACGGTGTAGGAATTACAACAGTTTGCATATGTGCCTCCCACTTGTTAAGGGACCAATAGTAATGGAACAATTTGCTTCTCAGCTGTTCCATGGCCAGGTGTGTGTTATTCCCTCATCCCAATTACAATGAGCAGATAAAAGGTCCAGAGTTCATTTCAAGTGTGCTATTTGCATTGGGAATCTGTTGCTGTCAACTCTCAAGATGAGATCCAAAGAGCTGTCACCATCAGTGAAGCAAGTCATCATTAGGCTGAAAAAACAAAACAAACCCATCAGAGAGATAGCAAAAACATTAGGC